ATAAAACAGATCAAGGTTGTAAGTAAGTATTTTCTCTTTGTCATGTCAGATGAACATATACATTCATAAAATTCTATATATTTTATGGCTCTCACGCAGAGCTCAAAATTCTTGCGCTAAGGAGAGACATAGCACCAAAAGTAGCATAAAACTCATAACAAAAAACGATCATCATTTATTCGTAAAAGTGTATTCCTTCCGTCAACATCTGATTTTGTTGAATGAAAAAGAATTGTGAAGAAATCGACTAGTTTCATTTTGAAAATTTAAATATAAAAGTTTAAACATAAACTCAGTGAAGATATAATATAATTAATTGGCAATTTCTGATCAAAGGGATTCAAAAACAGCAATTAGATTTTGTCATCATAGATAGTAACATCATAATCTATTCTGTTAAATATATAAATTACATAAAACAAAATGTTCGAACATGTTATGGACACAAGTGAATATGATTCGAATTTTGAAGACTTCTCAAGGTAATTTTATATATCTTTAATAAATAAATGAAAGTGAAACTAAGAAGTTGGAGCAAAACTGTGAAATTATATAATGATTGTTTTCCTATTAAAATGCGACGTTGTCAGATTGTTAATATTTCTGTTTGTTTATTTTTTACTCTCAATAGAATATCAGACGATATTTCGTTCTTCTCAAGTCAAAGCCCACCATCAAGTCCGCTACCTTGTCCCATCAGCCCCTGTCGGAGTGATAACTCAAATTTGCTTTCAATGGAAGACAACACTCTTGTTGATTTAAATTCTTTGTTTAATAATCAACATAAACCATTCTCTCCGGCTTGCAAACGCCTAAACATGGACATCATACCACATAAAGAATGCAATTTGTCTTCATTAAAAGTATCGGCAAAACGAAAATATCTCCACATTATCAATGAAAACATTCCACCTCTAACGGAGTCGACAGTAACAGATGCATGCAAGCGATCGAAGTTTTCGGAAGTGCTACAAAATTCATATCAAAACAGGGCAAACAATGTTTTTTTCTCGCCCCATCTCCAAACGTCACAAAGGAAAACCACTTTAATGATAAATCCGAGTTCATCATCAAATAAATTGTCTCACAAATCCTCGGAAATATTACATAACAGTAGATTTTAATAAATAGTAAATAGATAATATCATATTAATTTTGATGAAAATAAAAGAATGTGATAAGAAAGCTTTATGTCATTAGTTAGATAACTGATGTATATATAATAAGAATATAATATTATTAGATCAATTCATAGAAAGTTCAAAATGTTAAAAAGAAGAGAAATGCAATAAAATAATTGAAGATTCAACAGATACCTACAAAGTGTTCACTTTAATTTCACATTTTAAAGCAGTCAATAATTCAATGCCAATAATTTCTCAATATGACTGAAGGGATCTAATTTATTTTTAATCATTTTGCGACAGTAAATGATAGAATTATTTGAAGGAGATTGAAAACGAATTGATAAATGTCTTCATTTCAAAATTCTGAAAGCAATAAAAATATTTATTTCGTTTAGGCAATAAATACAAAATTAAATAAACTGCGGTCAAATTCGAAAGCAAAATATATATATATATATATATACACATATATATCATATTAT